TTTTTGCAAAGATTTTGTAAATTTCGGGTTTTCTTGATCTTAAAAAAGAAGCGAGGATTTTACAAACGTTTTTCCTCTATGAACAGATGCTGCCTCTCTCGACTTTATTTCACGGATTATAAAAATTTACTTTTGGAAGAATTAATTAGAAATTGTATTATATATATGTAGAAATTAATTAAAATTGTATATATATATTTTTTTGATATTAAAATTATATATATATATAAGTTTCGTGTAATAATAATTTATTAAAATTGGATAGAAAGAAAATTTTTGGCATTTTTACAATTTCTTATTGCGAGGAAGGATTACTAAAGATATTAAAAAAAAATCGCGGAATTCGAAAGGAAACAATTCAATTTTATATATAATTTTAGTATTAGTGTAAAAATAAAATTTAAAAATAAAATTTTAGTATAAAAAATATATATATACAATTTTACAATTATAATTAATTCTCCCTTTTTGCAAAGATTTTGTAAATTTCGGATTTTCTCGATCTTAAAAAAAGAAGAGCGAGGATTTTACAAACGCTTCTCCTCCGTGAACAGGTGGTACAGGTGCTGCCTCTCTCGACTTTCTTTCACGGATTGTAAATATCCACGCTTATTTTCTAATTGCAAAACTAACTGGCGAACGATGGTTCTTAATTCCGAATGGAAGGTATGCATACCAAGCGAATTAGTTACGTGAACGATTTTATATATTCCGTTCCGTTGCCGAGGATCGTTGCCACAAATCTCGCATTTCACGGCGATTGCGTTGCACCAAACCCTAAATGGTGCAATCGAAATGTCTTCATTAACGACGTCGAACGTTACGCCGATTCGTGCGTCGATTCAACCGACGTTCGCTGCATTAGCCGCAAGAGAATTACACACGTATACTTTTCGGCTGGGAACAAATATTTCGCGTATATCGAACGTATTTTCGCGTATATCGAGAATTAAGATTTTTTTTTTTTTCTTTCTTTCTTTCTTTCTTCTTTTTTCTCATTTGGAAAAAAGATTTTCATTTCATCGATGAAAATAATTCTCTCGCGCAAGGATAAATTATTTTTTCGAGTCCTCGAGAGGATTTTAATTTTTTAACGTGTACACCCGTTATTATTTATTAATGTTCGGATTCGATATCGAATTGACATTCGAAAGTGAGGACAGCACATTATCGGCGACCTTTGCTTTATCCGACTGTTTCTCTCGAATGTCATTATCTTTCTCTTTGAGCCACGAGTTTTTAAACCAAGTTTCGATTATAATATTTTTATTTTTATTATTTTCTTTTTTCCTTCGAAATTTCTTTGCGCCAAAGTTTCTCCAGTTTTTCTTTCCCAATTTTCTTTCTCTCTTCCTCCTAATCGATTGATATTAGTTCGAGAGGAATCGACAAGAGAATCTGTAAAGAAGATGTATTTTAAAAATTAGAAAGAAGAGAATATTGAAATTATAAGATAACTCGCGATAATCAATGACATAGTGTCGGTTTAATAAATTGCATCATCGAGGTTGAAATGCAATGTCAGTAAATAATTAAGGAAAATAATATTAAGGAAAGTCGATATTTTGTTGTAATTCAATAAATTAAATTAGGTGACGAATATATTTGGGAAATCAAAACTCTTGAAAGTTTATTTTCACTTTCAATATTATTTTTTTCCTCGATATAAATAAAAATAAAAATTACTCGAACAACTTTCAAAGTATCCATCTGTTACAAAACAAAAGAGTTTTATCGTTTTAACGTCAAAATGTATCCGTAAAAGAACTTCAGACAATTTCTAAATCTTTCAAAGTTCGTAGTTGTTCGCTCAAAAAAAAAAAAAAAAAAAAAAAAAAAAAAGACACGTGAAATCTCACAAATATCGCAACGTATCTCGAGAAACGAAGAAATGTTAAATTAATGATATCTTAATAAGGAGAACGATGAAGTTTCTTTTTTTTTTTTTTTTTTTTTAATAAAATTCAACAATTAATAGCAAAAAATAATTATCAACACGGTGCATTGACTATTTAAAAAAAAAACCAGTGTGATGTGAGAATTTTTTTTCGCGTTTCTTTTTCCAAGCAACAAAGTAAAGGTAATTAATTGTGATTTGTTACGTATTACTATGTATGCATAATTATGTATGTGGCATAAATTAAAATTTACTCGGTAATTGCTGAAAGCAATGATTAATATTGATGCCAAGTATTGATGCAAAGGATTTTTATTTCGAGAAAAAAAAAAAATATATATATATATATATATATATATAAATTATTTGTAGAATTCGTTGAACCGTTTATTCAATTATTAGGAGGAGGAGGGAGGGGGGAGGGGGATTAGGAGGAAAAGATATTATACGAATTTAATTTGAATATTACAATTGGTATTGTATTCGTGTGAATGAACAAGATGAAGCAAATATTTTAAAATAAGTCTTTTGTAAAAAAAAAAAATGCAAAAAAATTTGCATTCATTCGAGGAAATAATTTTCTAGAAATAAATCGCGCAATTATCTCTCTCACCATTAGAGATATATGAATAAATGCTTGAGATAAAAATTAAATATCTTTATAAAAGGAATAAAACGAATAAAATATGTTTTTCTTTTTTATTTCGGCTTTACTTGAAAATTATATAATTCATATTTTTGAAAAGCTCTGACTTGTTTGACTTGTTCAGATATTTTATATGATTAATTGTTTTTTTGAAGAAAGAAAAAAAAAAAAAAGAAAAAGAAAACATACGTCTGTTTTCAAAATATCGGATTCTTCTTCGACATAAATACAAATGTATAATTTTATTCGTGAAAAAAAAAAAAAAAAAAAGAAATATTGACGATTGTAATTAATGTAAAATAAATATATTTTTTTTGAAAAAACAATTATCATTAATTTCATAATATCGTTTAACGTTGACTTCAATAATTCTCTATATCATAAGAAAATAAAATTACGTTAAACGATTTGTTCTTGATCATTCACATTGCATGCATACGATGTTCACTTTGAAAGTCTCAAAAGACCGTGAACTTTATATCTCAATCGGTCGATTAAACGCAAAGGCTGCAATTATGCACATAAATTTAACGTTTAAACGTATTTAAATTAACACAAAATAAAAAGAAAAATAATTGTTGCCTTCATTAACAAAATATCGACACGTTTGTTCCATTTTTCTCGTCGAATAATTTATATTTTACGTTATATTTATTATTATATCTATCTTTTAATCTAAATAATTATATCGTTATTGAAATATTTCGTCGATTAACAATTCATTTTCTCAATATATCAAATAATATACCTTTTTTTGGTTAATTAATTAATCAAATTTACAAAATAAAATTTTTTCATTATTTACGGTTGAAAAATAAAAATCTGGAAAAAATATATATCGTTTAATTACTCTAATATATCTTTCGAAGGAATTATAATTAATCGATAATTAAATTTGAATCGATATATAATCCTTCCTCGAAATCTTTTTAACCAAGAAAAGACTGGTTTCAAAAACGAGGCAATTAAAAATAACACGAGACAATTGAATTTCAGATTCGTCGATGGCGAGTGTGGCTCCAGCAGTGGCGACAGCACAGGCCAATTAGAATTAAGCGGCGGTGAGCAACCGGAAGAGGCATCACCAGCATCGATGCACGAAACCAACAATAATAGTCTGCTCCACGAAGATTTAGAGCGTAGGATACCATAGCTGGTCTAATTGCGCCCTCTACTCTGATCGATCCTCTGTTGATAAATCCCAATTCGAAGAAGCGTGAACTTCATTCGAGAACCGTCTTCCCGAAACGAAAAATAAAATAAACAGAAGAATCAGCTACTGATTAAATTTATGGAAAAAAATGAAGGAGAGAGAGAGAGAGAGAGAGAAAAAAAAGAGAGAAATAACAATGACAAGAGAAAAAAAATAAAAAAGAGAATAGAAAACTTCATCGAACTTAAGAAGGAGAAATGAGAAGCTGAACAGAGAATCATCGTTGTCGAAATGGTCGTTAAAATAGCCACTTGAGATTTATTGAAGAAGATGCAATTCGGCTTTTACGAAATGATCCGTCCCAAGGTCGACCTCTGGAGATCTTTCGAAGGCCAACAAGGTGCGAGGTTGACAGAGAAAGAGAAAAAGACTGACTTTACGGCCAATTCGACTGGAGAATTCTCTGCTTCTTTTTTTTTTTTTTTTTTTTTTTTTTTTTTTTTTCTTTTCATCTCTGTCGCGAATTATATTTTTTTCTTCTCCTTTTTTCCGATGATATCGTTACCTTGAAACACCTCGAATGTTTCGATTACATAGTCGGACACCGATATAAAATGGCTCACACACATATCGATTGTCGCGAATTCGTATTTTAAGTGTATTAGTCATGTGCCAAAGGTATTCGAACAGAAATTGGAAATAATGATATATCGGCGGGGATAACTCGGTCGATAAAGAAGCGATCGAAACTATTAATTACAAAAACTCGCAATTGCGTTCGAACGATTTTTTTTCGAAAAGAAGATGATAATCGAAGAAAGAAGATTCTCGTAATGGATTGGCCAAAATTTGAAGCATCTCGAGGTCGACGACGTAAAGTCGGATCGCATTGACAACGATAAATAAATGATCAGTGTGCGACTCGATGATGAAAACAAAGTGTGTGAGAAACTGTGATAGAATTTCGTATTAAAACCTCGTTGCACGTTGTCCCGCGCGTGACATCGTGCTTAAATACTTTTATTTTTTTTTTTTTTTTTTTTTTTTTCTTTCTTTGTGGTAATTGTCTTACGGTCTGCAAATTGGACAGGAAACAATGGGAATGCTCGTCAGGCCGTCAGGAAATGGTCGTCTCCGAAATGAGATGACCGATTGAGATGAAACGACACGACAATCGCTGTTCCAACAACGTAGAACGACAACGAGAAAAAATTATGGAAATCATTGCAGCGAAGAAATTATCTCGTTTTAACGCGATTTAAACATCAAACGGAATGCAAAAGTTGAAAATTATTGTTTGATTTAAAATAATCTACAAAAAAAATTTAACGTTTAAATAAAATAAAGTGAAAGAAATGCCAATGTCTTGTGATAATGCATTGACAAATTACAGATTATAGGTTAGAAACTTTTTTTACTAAGAATTTTATAATTTCTTCATGTATACATGAAAATATTTTCTTATCTCATATTAAGTAAAAGTATAAAGGCCTGATAAAGTATATACTATACAAATATTATTCGAAGATTAATATTAATGTAGAAAAGATCAAAAAAAAGTTTCGTTTAATGTTTAAATCGAGTAGAAAGGAATCGGTCGTAAGTATATAAGTATAATTGAAGATATGAATTTCGAAGAATAACGCGTACCTTAGACATTATACATATTATATATATATATAATATATATATATATCTATATATTAATATATACGTGTGTATTAACACGTTGGTGATTAATGCAATATATGTTAATCACGAATGTGATAATCTAATAATTTACTGTATTATTTCGAGAACGGGGGGACCAGAGACATCGATTTAAGTTACCAGATCTCGTTGAAATGCGGGATACATTTTGACTAGCTTCGTTTCATCGATTTCCGGAGATTTGCGCTTATCTCTTCGGTAAAAGAGCGAGAGCAATGCATTTAATCGATTATGTCCACGGTCGATGCACGGAACTAGTCGCGTACAATAGGGCGGAACGAAACGAAATTTTTTTATTATTTGCGACTTCTAATAATGAAACAAAATTATTTAAATAATTTATTCTATAGTTTTTTTTTATTAATTTTTTTTTAGTCTCTGGCAAAATAATTTTATATATATATATATAAAATTATTATATTTTTTATATAATATATATATAGAAATATTTTTGAAGAAATTTAGATTATATTTACAAGAAAATTTTAAAATATAATTTAGAAAAAAAAAATATTCAAAAAGAGACTTAATTAAATTAATTAATTACAGAGATTACGTATTTTGTACGTTAAATCTAAAAAAGATTAGAAGCAAATATTTTTCGTTATTAGAAAATAATCAAACAATTTTGATTTTTTTCGTTCCACTCTTGCGTACAATTTTTATCTTTCGCCTTAAACTCGTAAGTGTTTTTCTTTCGTTTTTTTTTTTTTTTTTTTTTTTTTTTTTTTTTTTTTTT